GGACACCCCTGTCTAGTACCTTTCTCTATTGTAAAAACCTCCGACAAACCTCCATTAACAATAAGTTGTGCCGTTTGTTTTTGATATATTACCGTAAGGGCTTGTAATATCTTTTCACCAAAATTCATTTCTTCCATTACTCTTAACATAAAATGCCAATTCAATTGATCAAATGCTTTTTCAGCATCTAAAAATATGAGCCCTGCAGGAACTTGGTTGTTCTTGTCTAAATATTCTAGTAAATTAATAATTTGTCTGACATTATTTTTCATATACCTTCCTGTTATAAATCCTGATTGATCTTTATGCACAAGATGATGCACCACCCTCATAAGCCTATTTACCAAAATTTTTACAAATATCTTATAATCCACATTTAAAAGAGATATAGGCCTGTAATTTTTTGGTAGGGTAAGATCTTGATCCTCCTTTGGAATCAATGATATAAAAGCACTACGCCATGAAGGAGGAATCTCTAAACCCTGTAAAATACCATTAAAAAGATCATGTAATGGTTGGATCATCTCCTCTATTAGAACTTTGTAATAAACAGCTGTTAACCCATCCGTACCCGGTGCTTTCCCTAATTTCAATTGTTGAATTGCTGAGGTAATTTCCTCCTTAGTAATTAAACCATTAATTTCATATTTCTGATCCTCAGTCAGTTTAGGAAAACTTGCCTCAGCTAAATATTTATTTATATCTAGCATTTGTATATTAGTAGATTTATATAGGTTTTGATAATAATCCAAAAAAGATTTTTTAATCAATTCCTTCTGAGAAACTAATTTACCCTTATAGTTTATTTTCTCTATTATTCTTTGTCTCTGTTTCTTTCTTAATTGATAAGCCAACCATCTCCCAGGCTTATTGGCATTACAAAATGTATTTTGTTTCATAAATAATAAGTTGGTTGCAGCTTGATCTGCTATCAACATATTAAATTGTGACCTTAATAACTTTACAGATTCTTTAATACTCTCATCAGAAGGATTTAAAATCAAAGCCCTTTCTTTTAATTTAATTTCATCTTCAAGTTCTCTACGTTTCTGAATCTGATTTCGCTTATAAAAATTATTCATTTTTATCAAAACACCGCGCATAAATGCTTTACCTGCATCCCATACCATTGACATTGAAGTCCCCTTATACATATTCAAAGCAAAATAGTCCTTTAAACACTCCTTTAGTTTTTGAACATTCTTTTCTTGTCTAAACAAATTTTCATTAACTCTCCAAGATCTTCTTTCCTCTTTCTCTTGAATCAGCTCCATCCAAACTGGACTATGATCCGTCAGTGATCTAGGAAAAATCTTTACATTCTTTACTTTATTATACAAGTCCGTGGTAATCAAGAAAAAGTCAATTCTTGAAAAAGATTGGTGTCTATCAGAAAAAAAAGTAAAGTCTCTCTCCTCTTGATTACGTTCCCGCCAATAATCCCTTAATTCCCAGTCTTCTTTCATGTCAAAAAAGGCTTTAGGTAGCCTTGCTTGTTTAAGAAAAGGAGAGGAACCTTTCTTATCCCTTAGTGTATCTAAGACACCATTCCAATCACCCATTAATACCACTGATCTATAATCAAGCAAAGTTATTTTTTGATGTAACTGTTTATAAAATTGTTCCTGTTGTTGATTTGGAGCGTAAAGTCCAACTATAAGTACTTTCTTACCATATATACCAAGTTCAATCATCACATATCTCCCCTGGGGATCTGATTCTACCAGACAAGCTGGTAGGTTTTGTTTAACATATATAACAACTCCCCCTTTCTTCCCAGGAGCAGGAGATATAAAATGAGATCCCAAACGAGCATTAACTAAATATTTCTGATCTTTAAGTAAAATATGAGTTTCCTGTAGACAAATAACATCATTGGTATGTTGCTTCAAATAATAAAAGATTTTTTTCCGTTTCTGAGGAGAATTCAATCCATTAACATTCCAGGTCAAAAACTTTGCCATCTCCCTTGGCACGCAGCCTGGAGAAGACACCATCAAAATCTGACAGAGCTGCGTGTGTTGCATAACTCTTGGGTCTTGCTCCTCCCACCGGCGGTGAAGCACTTCCAGGAGAACTCTCTTTGGGCTCTTTTTTACGTTGCTCCTTCTCTTTACGCTTATAGGCTGCACGAGTCATCCTCTGCTCTTTAGCCTCCGTCTGGCGTTGCTTTGCCACTTCTATCATCCCTGCGGAAACCAAATCTAATGCCTCAGATTGCTGCTCAGCTTCCTTACCACTCAAAGATTTCCGACCAGATGAAGTTGAGCCTGCACCCAGGACCGAAGTATAAAAATCTCTAGCTTTATCAACTGTGTTCAATCTGTAGCGTGTCCCAGCATGGCTCAAAACAATACCCATCGGAATTTCCCATCTAAATGGCATCGATCTAACTTTAAGCTCATTGGTTAAAAAAGCAAAGTCTTTTCTACTTCTTAAAATTTTGGATGGGATTTCCTTTAGAATGATGACATCTTGGGCGGCAATCTGAAGTTGGATCTTAATAAAGAAAGCCCAAATCCCCAATGAAACTTTATAAAAGTTTAATTTTTGAGAGCAATCATAGGGCTTAGCTAGCAAAATGTCATTTCAGGCATACTATGGGAAAGGCATTAATCAGGAGTGATGTCAGATGCCTATCTTTGCTTTCTTTGAAGCTAGCTAGCAACTGCCATAACTAGGGGGAAGGGGACATTTGGTAGAGGAAGAGCACTGGAGGTGTTAAAGAATGGTTTGAGAATTTGGGGAGTATGGGTATTAACAGGAACTAAAGGTACCAAACTGAGTCATCTGCCTGCCCTCAAGGACACCAGCCCTGGGACAGGAATTTATAGCCACTCCTGTAAGATGCTAAGAAAAAGATTCAGGCATGTTTTGAGCAGAGGTTTGAAACTGCAGAACACATCTTTACAAACTCTGAGTTTATTGCTTTTTATATACTTGGTAAATATACCAGCTTAACCATTAGGTGCTGACAAAGGTTTCTTCGTTGGAAAATGTCTTCATGTAAGCAACTATTTCCTAGTAACACATTACATGATCAAAGACCAGGTAAAGAGCAAACAGGGGAAGGAACTAACAAAGGCAGGAAAAGATAGAAGGAACTAAGCATATTATCTGTTTAGGTAGATAACTCAAAAGGGTATGACCTTCTGGCTGCTTCACTGGAACAAAGAGTAACAAAAGGTTATGAGGTGGGGGGGTGGAATCACGGCAATTTGCTGCCCATGCATTTTTCCCTACATAATCCTGAGACACCAGGTTGCTAAAACATTAGACCAGGATTGATTGGACTGATCTAGCCAGGGTAAGGGCTTTGGGCATTGGAGATTGCTTTCAATATATGGTTTTTGCTTGCCTTGCTTATGCTGCACTCGGTATCTCTAGTAAAAGTACCTTTTCTCTAACATCCATGAAATCAAGGGTCATTCTTCCTAGGGAGTAAATTGTAGCCAGTCTGACAAGATTTGCAGAAATAATCACTAGATATGAATTATAAAAATAAGTGATGCTAAAGAAGATACCTTATGAATAGAATGGTTTAAGTAGCCATTGTTTTACAGTTAAGCTTTTTATAGCTGTCGGTTGTTGTTAGTTGTGAAGTCATGTCCGACCCATCGCAACCCCATAGACAACGTTCCTCCAGGCCTTCCTGTCCTCTACCATCTTCTGGAGTCCATTAAGCTCACACCTACTGCTTCAGTGACTCCGTCCAGCGACCTCATTCTCTGTCGTCCCCTTCTCTTTCCCTCGATCTTTGCCAGCATTAGGCTCTTCTCCAGTGAGTCCTTCCTTCTCATTAGGTGGCCAAAGTATTTGAGTTTCAAGTTCAGGATCTGGCCTTCCAAAGAGCAGTCAGGGTTGATCTCCTCTAGGACTGACTTGCAGGAGTCTTCTCCAGCACCATACGTCAAAGGCCTCAATTCTTTGGCACTCAGCCTTTCTTATGGTCCAACTGTAGCTGTCGGTAGAAGTTACATATGAATTGGAAGATGTTGAAACGGAAAACCTCTTGGGATATTGTGCTAAATTATAAAAACGTTCAAAAACAAAACTGATGTGACTGTGTAACATCAGATCCTCTGTGACTTATGCTTAATCCTACAAAACCCCCACTGGATTTATAGTCTCCACCTCAATGTATTTAGTTTGGAGAAGGGGCTCAGCTGAAAATGTATCCCACTGTTGACTTGGAAAATGATTGGTCTAGAAGGGATGGGATCAGGCAGACATTTAATAGGTATTGCTTCCACAACAAACGGAAGGAGCTGCATCTCCCTGATACATCTCTTCAACAGAAAACTTTTTAAATCTTTCTTTCTCTATAGCAGAAATGAGAATGGGAACTTCTGGACTGTGAAAAGGAATACAAAAAATAATCCAAGTCTAGTCCATTGTGAAAAACAGCTAAGTCAACCAGTGTGAATGGAGAAGGAGAGACCTTTTTTCAGTCAAAGTCCTGTCATGATGAGATAGAACAGTGGTGGCAAACCTCTCTGTGGGCACGGCGCGCCACCACCCCAGTCCTAGGCCTTCACCTGGGTTTTATAAAACCTTTTCGCTTAGGCCTCCGCTGCCATGTGCAAAAAAAAAAAAGTTCAATCAATCAGTCAATTTCAACTTCTCGCAGGGAAAAAAGATCTTGCAAAGTTGGAATTGATTGATTGAACTTTTTAGTCCCACCCAGTTACCATCACAGCCATGCCTACCCAATGGGGCATACCCACCTAATGGGCCACACCCATCCGGCACCCGACAATGCATAAGTGGGTTTGGGGTTGCAGTTTGGGCACACGGTCTCTAAAAGGTTCGCCATCATTCCCCTAAATAAAACACATTTCTCCTCTTCTTTTTCTGCTCTCATAGTATTTTAATGATATATTATCTTTTCTATACTTGCTTTCCATCCTTTTGCAGTTCCAACTTTTCTCCAGTCACAGTTAAGATACTGCTTTTCCCTTCTCATTTCTCCTCCAAGGAGCCTCGTTTTGAAGTAAAATTTCTGGAGCGTACAACAGTTTCAGCTTTTTCCCCATTTTGGAGTGGTTTTTTCTTTCCCTTCAGCATCCCTTTCCTGGATCCAAAGCAGCTGCTCGGCTTTTGCGGTGATTCTAAGACACCCGAGCCAAGAACTGGACAAGGGCAGCTGCAGATACACAACCAGAGAAATAGAAATGCATTTTCCCAATTTTGGCTTCCCTGCCATGTCCATCTTCCTCCCCTTCAGACTGGAGTTCGCAACAACTGCAAGACACAAATAGTGTTTCCCAGAGACCCTTGGTCCTGGCTTTCTGACCGCCCATCAGTTTCTGAGTGGATTTGGGCCCATTTTGAGGCCAATTTCTGGGGAGCCTTCAGATTGAGTGTTCTTGAGGGAAGCGAGTTGAAATCTTCCAGATCTTTTTTTTTCTCCATGTCCACAAATGGTCCCTGGATAGGAAGATGGAAAAGGCGCTGCTTCTGGAGACACCAAAGCCTTTGAGAGGGTCCTTTCCTTCTCCCATACCCATCATCCCTGCCCTCCTCGCTACAGACGCGCTCCTCTTTCCCGCCCTTTCGGGTACTGCTGACACTCCGCGCAGAGTCCACCAGAGAGCGCTCTCAGCCTCAGGAGGAAACTGGGCATGCGCAGGACTCCTCCGCCAGGGCAGAATCCCCGCGTTGCCCGGAGAAATCGTAGGAAGAGGCTGCTCTTTCTCCTCCCCCCTCCCTCCGCTGAGAGGTGGGGGCGGGGCGTGGACAGGAGGCACGGAGGCTGCCGGGAATCCCTGCGGGGAGGCGGAGCCCGACGATACTCCCGATTTACACGAGTGGCAGCTCTGCCCGTGCAAAGGGGTCCCGCGCTGGAGGCGAGCTTGGAGACGGGCCAAGTCTTCCCCCGAGGTGGGAATCCGGGGTCCCATCTTCCGCTGCCGCCCTTTTCCATGCAGGGCCCGGCAAGGGGGCGGGGGGGAGGAGAGAAATGGGGGTCGCCAGAAGGGAGGGGCCGTTTCCCCCCCATTTCCCGGGGGAGCCTCTGCATGGCGGGGGGAAGGCGCGGCTGAAAGGAAATCCCCCTGCCTGCTCCGGGTGCAAGTCCGGGGCCCCGGGTGGAGGACCGGGACTGGTGTGCTGCTTCCCCCGCCTCTCCCCACGACCTCCAAGGGGCTCTGCCGGCAGACAAAGGACGTAAGTGAGGCTGAAACGCAGCATTCGCATTCGGTGCCCGGTTGGACCGATATTTCCCAAACCCCTTTCAAGCCTGGGAGTTGAAGTCCATATTTGCCTTCATTTGTCCGTCTTTGGAAAAGCGTGGATTAGGCTAAGAAGTGGGGAACGTGTTTGGCGGAGTTGCATGAATCAGAAGGTCATGTTAGGCTGTCAATGGTTCATTCATTCGGCTGATAGTCTGTGTAACGGATGGTGGCTTGTTAACTCAAGCTTCTCAAGTTCCCAAAGGGGTTTGGGCCAGACTGATTAATGGGGTTCTGATGACTAAAGTTTTACTAAAAGTTCTAATGTTGATTTAACTCTTCTTTGAAATCATTAGAACAAATAACCAGGCATTTGAAATCCAAAACATAATTTAAATGTATTTGTCCAGTAGTTTGAGTCTTTCATAGAAGTTGATCAAGAAGGATTTATCAGAATATGTCCCAGCTGTTAAAGTTCAAATACCTAATAGGATTCCTCACTTTCTTCCCTGATCTTAGTGGTTTTATAAGATATTCTTCTTGTTATATTTTTTTGGGTGGGGTGGGGTGGGGTGGGGGATGGATTGACGCTTGTTAATGTAGTCATCCTGATTTCCTGGTACTTACTTTGATTTTCCATTTTGGAAATAGAAGCTGCAAATCTTTAGTGCAGTATAGGTACAGTATAGATAGGGTTTCCTGTCTGAGTAGGAGGTTGGACTAGAAGGCCTCCAAGGTCCCTTCCAACTCTATTATTATTATTATTATTATTATTATTATTATTATTATTATTATTATTATTATTATTATTATCATCATCATCATCATCATCATCATCATTATTATTATGACAGTTAAGCGGGTGGGTGAACATCACATTAAGGTGTGTTCTTTCAAGCCCTGTGTTTCATGTGAACTTTGCCCTTATGGTTGGTTAACGTTACAGTTTGGGGTCAGGGAAATTGTGTGAAGCAGCCTTCGGGTTATAGTTTGACTTTGTTCCCAAAAAGCCAGCACTGAAAAACAGAAAGTGAGCATCCTAAGTCAGGATCATTTCCTTGGGATTTCATCTGATTTGAACTCAACCTTAGTTAGAACGTTGTTCCTTCCCAGGATCATTTCATTCAGCATTATCCATATTAGGGGTTTCCTTCCTTTTCCTCACTGACAAAAGGTGAATTTGGGATGAGCCATTTTTGGGAACTTCCTCCTTTTCTCTATCGCTCCAGTTACTTACAAACATAGAAACTTTAAAAAGACATCCTTAATACTGGTGTATGTCTAGTGCCTAAATGTCTTAACTTGAAGAACAAGAAACGTGTCATTTCACTGCAGTTTCTTAAGCACTTTGAGTTCTAGCATCTTGTATGATCCCTAATTGTAGGGTATATATGATCTTAAATGTGAAAGGAAGCTAACTTGCGCTTCAGGGAAAAAATATTGAAAATCCACCAAATATAAAACATTTATTTTATAATCCAATATAAAATATTCCATGTCTTGATGTAATCTAGGACCATATTTTACACCACACTTGATGGACAGACAAAAAGAGAAATACCCAGAGGATCCATCTGCTGAATACCTATGCAATCCTTTTACCAACTTCACTTTCATAAGAAGGAATGTTGTCCACCACCTTCTCATTTTTTGAATTAATTTTCTTTTCCATTTCAGATGCAGAAACTAGAGTAATGTCAACAACCTTCCTAACAATAAAAAGTTAACTGTTGGGCAAAGAGCTTGGATAGCCTTTGGTCAGTTCTGCAACTACCGGAATAGTCTTATGAATTGAAAGGTGTTTGGAGATCCACAAGATTCCTCTGACCTATCTGGAATTTTTTCCAGGATAGACAAAGGATGCAGAAACAACGGTTAGCAAGTGAGGGAACTGGAAAAGGCCCCTCTGCTGTTCAGCCTGGCAGTTGTGGGAAGATCTGGGCAAAAACTGAGCAGAGGTTCCTGGAGGAGAGAACCATCATCCGTTCAGAGATTCAGCCCTGGAACTTCAGAAACATCCAATATGAGGAGACTGAAGGTCCCCGAGGACTTTGCAGCAGACTCCACAACCTTTATAGTCAATGGCTGAGACCAGAAAAGCACACCAAAGCCCAGATGTTGGACCTAGTAGTTCTGGAGCAGCTGCTGGCCCTTCTGCCCCCTCTGATGGCAAACTGGTTGCGGGAATGTGGAGCAGAGACCAGCTCCCAAGCGGTGGCCCTGGCCGAAGGCTTCCTCCTGAGTCAGGCAGAGGAGCAGAAGGAGCAAGTCGAATTTCAGGTGAGAGACCTCCACCTTGGAAGTCCAGAAGAGAATAAAGAATGTGTTTGAATTTTTCACCCTTCCCTTCCCTACTTTTCTGCTCTTCATAATATGTGGAGATGCTTCACTGGTTCTTGCAGGACATTGTTCCATTATCCATTCTAGAAGACAAACTGGAGACAGTTGTTCCTTTCTTACATTCTAGGCTCATTGATTGATATTGGGGCATCCAAGTTGTTTTTAGAGAACAAGAATCCACTTCATGTTGTGTGATGTCTTATTCAAATCTTTCCCTCTGCAGACCAGAGATCCTATGAGAATCGGGAATCCATCAATTTCTCCTCAGGAGCGGTTTTCCAGGAGGATCTATCAGGAATCCACAAGTCAGGACATCTCAGATGGTAATCCACCCATTCCCAAGAGAGGTCCCAGCTGTCTTACCTTCTCTCTCTTCTCTTCTGTAGAAGGCCTCCTGCCATTTTATTAATTATCCATTTAAAAATTCTGTCTCCCTCACAGGGAAGAATGGAACGAATCTGACTCTTTTCTATGGTGGTGCTGAAAGAGTAGTTGAAGTTCCAACTCAGGTAAGAGAGGTATAATAAAAGATAAAATGTTCTCAATGTTAGCGTTTTCTGAATAGTAATCCTGTTAGTAATCCTTTGGCACGGAATTGTGCAATAATAACGGAAAGAATCACATTGGCACCTTACAGCTTCTAAAACGCCTTGTTTAGTGATAAGAAAAATAATGGCACCAGGTTAAAAGATGAAGCAGACTGTTAAAATCCAAAGAGAGTGGGCAGATCAAGGCCCTTCAGCCTTTAGAGGAATTTCTAATACTCCGATTTGTGCCTTGAATTTGGGGCCAAACAATCCAGCTTTGGAAAGGATGAGAAATGCTCTTCCCAAGCAGCTTTCTCTTCTTCGGCCATTGGGATGGGGTACAAGCCGTGGATTCCTTGTAATCTGAGGAGCAGCGGAAACAGGGCTTGTGTCCCTTTGTCTATTGATGACACCCATGTAAATGCCTGGGTGCCTCTCAAACAACTTTAATGAAGGTTTTGAGCATGGATAAAATTGTTTGCTCTGGGGACACCACAAGCCTTTTACTGAATTGGTAGAAAGAACCAGCACCAACTGCATTTTCATCTGCAAATATTGGGTTGATTGGAGTGAGTGATGGGTGGGGTTTCCAAGGCCCATTCCAGTTGATTTTCTCCAGAGCTGAAAGTCTTGCTGATAGAAGGGGACAGAGAGGCAGACCCAGACAAAAAGTGCAATTAATTTCACTAAATGGCCTGAAATGTATATCTTTGTTTGGAATCACTTAAATAATAGGACAGATCTTAAAAATCCTCCTGATTTTTCTTCTGTTTTCTTATGCAGGAGGATCTTGTGTCCTTTGAGGAGGTGGCTGTGTATTTCTCTGAGGAGGAGTGGTCTCAGCTGTATGCTGGCCAAAAAGCACTGCATCGGGAAGTCATGCTGGAAAATCATAGGAACGTGGCCTCTTTGGGTAAGAATATCCTACTCTCCAGTCCGAGTGAGATGTATTAGCTCTTTTTATTAAAGGAATTTTATCAGAATAAAAACAGTAACAACTTTGAAGTGTAAATGAAGAAAATAATTGAATAATAAATAAGAAAAAAGTATGATGAAATTAAGAAAAGAAAGAGAAAAGACAAAGTAATAATGAAGTTAAAATTTGTCCCCTGTTTTTAAGGTTACATCATTCTTTACATTACATAATTTATCCATTCTAATCTTTGAATCTGAGCGCCAAAGAATTGAGGCCTTTGAACTATGGTGCTGGAGAAGACTCCTGCATGCCCCTTGGACTGCAACACGTTCAAACTGGTCAGTCCTAGAAGAGATCAACCCCGACTCCTCTTTAGAAGGCCAGACCCTGAAGTTGAAACTCAAATACTTTGGCCACCTAATGAGAAGGAAGGACTCACTGGAGAAGGGCCTAATGCTGGGAAAGATTGAGGGCAATAGAAGAAGGGGACGACAGAGAATGAGATGGCTGGATGGAGTCACTGAAGCAGTAGGTGTGAACTTAAATGGACTCCAGAAGATGGTAGAGGACAGGAAGACCTGGAGGAACGTTATCCATGAGGTCGCGATGGGTCGGACACGACTTCGCAATTAACAATAAAAAATCTTTGAACTCAAGTTTGATGACAAGATCACTTTTTCTTTTTTTTAGCAAAGTCCATTGGAGGTTTCCAATCACTAATAAATATAGATACTATCCTTATCTTTATCAGAGTCACTTAAGTCGTCATTGAAAAGTCTATCATCTTCCCCAACCAGTCCACCATTCTACTTATTGCAGAGCCCTTCAGCTTTACGTGTATAATAGTCTCACTATGGCTGTCATACTCAGAAACTATCTTCTATGACTTTTAATTAGTGCCAACGTGAAGTGTTCTGATTTCACTTGGATATTAATCTTTAAAGATCTCCGTATCACTGAATGTCTTTGAATCCATACTTTTCTAGGTTTTTTACAAGTCCATTTGACTAAAGCATGACAAAACGACCCTTTATCTTGTCCACATTTCCAGTGTACGTTTGAGGTACATTTTTGCACTTTTAAATATTTTTCTGCTGATTTTCACATTGCTCAGCCTATTTAGAGATTTTAGCAAATACATATTCATCTTTTCTATGCAAGTGAGATTCAAATTCTGCTTTATGTTGTTGAATACTATAGTTTCCTTTATCTACCTAGAATCTTTTTGATACGAAAAATACTGACAGTTACATGTCTATGGAGATTCTCAGTCATCCAGGTCATAGTTGTCCCACAAGTACCTTTTCCCAAGAGCTAACTGGAATTTCTTTTGAAGGCAAGCTGTTTCCTTAGTTAATTGTCCTCACTGTTAGTAACTTTCTCCTTAGTTCCAGGTTGGTTCTCTCCTTGACCAGTTTCCAACCATTGTTTCTTCTCCTGCCCTCTGGTCCTTTGGAGAATAATTTGACCCCCTCTTCTTTTTTGCAGCCCCTCAAATACTGGAATGCTATCATGTCGCCCCTATTTCTTCTTTTCTTTAGAGTAGCCAAACCCAAGTCCTGCAGCCGTTCTTTGTATGTTTTAGTCGCCAGGCCTTTGATCATTTTAATTGCTCTTCTCTGAACTTTTTCCAAAGTCTCAACATCTTTTTTGTAGTTTGGTGCCAGAAATTGTTTGCAGTATTCCACCTGTGGTCTTACTAGGATTTTATAAAGTGTTATTAATACTTCATGTGATCTTGATCCTATGCATCTGTTTATACAACCCAAATTGTATTAGCTTTTTTGGCTGTTGCTGCAGACTGCTGGCTCATATCCAACTGATCCACTAGGACGGGTCCCCAACCCCCGGTCCATGGACTAGTTCTGGGCCGCGGCATGCCAGCAACCGGTCCGGAGAAACAGGGAAAGCCCCATCCAGAGGGTGAAGGCAGCACACAAAACCACACCCCCTCTGCTCCGTGGAAAAACCTCTCTGCACGTAACTGATCCCTGGTGCCCAAAAGGTTGAGCACAACTTTGTCTCCCAAAAAGTAGAGAAAGGAACTAGGGGATTAGCCATTTTGGATCTAATTCTCACTAACAGAGATGAAATGATAGAAGGTGTTGAAGCCACAGGAACCATGGGAGGAAGTGATCATGCAATATTGGAATTCAACATTATGGAAGCACAAGCAATAGAATATAGTCAAACTAGAGTCTTGGACTTTAAGAAAGCTAAGTTCAATAAACTTAGAGAGGGCTTGGGAAGGATTCCATGGATGAGAATCCTCAAGGGGAAAACAACTCAAGAAGCTTGGGAAATTTTGAAAAGTGAGATAATAAAAGCCCAGTCTAGTACAATACCAACAAAGAGGAAAAATAACAGCTCTCAAAAGAAGCCAGAATGATTGCATAAAGAACTCTCTGATAAATTGAAAGATAAAAAGGACAAGTATAGAAAGTGGATACAGGGGCACATAACTAAATCAGAATATCAGCAAATAGCCTGAGCCTGCAAAGATGAAGTGAGGAAAGCTAAGGCTCAAAATGAACTAAGGTTTGCGACCAAAGTAAAAAATAACAAAAAAAAGCTTCTTTCAACATGTAAAAAACAAGAAAAAAGTGAAGGAAATGATTGGTCCATTAGTGGGTGAAAGTGGCAAGAAGGTGACAAGCAACAGGGAGAAAGCAGAATTATTTAACTCATTTTTTGCATCTGTTTTTACACAAAGGGAAAAAACAGACCAACCTACCAAAAATAGTGCCATAAAAAACAGAATAGAAATACAAGTTAAGATAGGCAAGAAAACGATGTGAGCACCTGTTCAGCCTAGACGAGTTCAAATCACCAGGACCAGATGGATTACACCCCAGGGTTCTCAAGGAACTGGCAGATGTGATTTCAGATTCATTGAACTATAATTTTCAAAGATTGGAGCACTGGGGAACTACCGGAGGACTGAAAAAGAGCTGATGTAGTTCCCATCTTCAAAAAAGGAAAAAAAAATGGATCCAGGAAGTTACAGACCTAATAGCCTGACCTCAATACCTGGGAAGATTTTGGAAAAGATAATCAAACAACCAATCAGCAAACACCTAGAGGCAAACAAAGTCGTTACTAAAAGCCAACATGGGTTTGTCAAAAACAGATCATGCCAGACAAATCTTATTGCATTATTTGACCAAGTGACAAAATAAGTGAATCAGAGGAATGTTGTGGATATTATTTACTTGGATTTCAGTAAGGCATTTCATAAAGTAGATCACAACCTATTACTTGATAAGATAGAAAAATGCAGGTTAGACAGCATCACCACCAGATGGATCTGTAGCTGGCTGATCGGCCGTACTCAGCGTTTGGTCCTCAATGGAACCGCATCTACATGGAGTAAAGTGTGTAGTGGGGTGCCCCAGAGCTCTGTTCTGGGCCCAGTGCTCTTCAACATCTTCATCAACGATTTGGACGAGGGGATAGATGGGAAAATCATCAAATTTACAGATGACACCAAACTGGCAGGAATAGCCAACACGCCAGAAGACAGGCTTAAGATACAGGAGGATCTGGACAGACTTGAACACTGGGCACTATCTAACAAAATGAAATTCAATGGTGAAAAAAGTAAGGTTCTACATTTAGGTGAGAAAACCCAAATGTATAGGTATAATATAGGGGGTACCTTGCTCAATAGTAGTAACTGTGAGAGGGTCCTCGGAATCTTGGTAGACAATTACTTAAATATGAGCCAGCAGTGTGCTGCAGTTGCCAAAAAGGCCAACACAGTGCTAGGCTGCATTGACAGAAGGATAGAATCAAGGTCACATGAAGTGTTAATACCACTTTACAATGCCTTGGCAAGGCCACACTTGGAATGCTACATCCAGTTTTGGTCACCACGATATAAAAAAGATGTTGAGACTCTAGAAAGAGTACAGAGAAGAGCAACAAAGATGATTAGGGGACCGGAGGTTAAAGCATATAAAGAACGGTTGCTGGAATTGGGTATGTCTAGTTTAATGAAGAGAAGGACGAGGGGGGGACATGATACCAGTATTCCAATATCTCAGGGGCTGCCACAAAAAAGACGGAGTGAAGTTATTTTCCAAGACGCCTGAAGGCAGGAGAAGAAGCAACAGATGGAAACTAATCAAGGAGAGAAGCAACCTAGAACTAAGGAGAAACTTCCTGACAGTTAGAACAATTAACCAGTGGAACAACCTGTCTCCAGAAGTGGTGAATGCTCCATCACTGGAAGTTTTCAAGAAGAGACTGGACAGCCATTTGTCTGAAATGTATAGGGTTTCGTGCCTGAGCAGGGGGTTGGACCAGATGACTTCCAAGGTACATTCCAACTTTATTTATTTATTTATTTATTTATTATTATTATTATTATTATTATTATTATTATTATTATTATTATTATCTATGGTAATGGTACCAAACTGAGTCATCTGCCTGCCCTAAAGGACACCAGCCCTGGGAAAGGAATTTATAGCCACTCCTGTAAGATGCTAAGAAAAAGACTCAGGCATGTCTTCAGCAGAGGTTTGAAGCTGCAACCTAGAACTAAGGAGAAACTTCCTGACAGTTAGAACAATTAACCAGTGGAACAACCTGCCTCCAGAAGTGGTGAATACTCCATCCCTGGAAGTTTTTAAGAAGAGACTGGACAGCCATTTATCTGATATGGTCTAGGGCACAGGTTGGCAACCTGCGGCTCCGGAGCCGCATGCGGTTCTTTGAGCCTTCCCCTGTGGCTCCCAGCCTCCTCTGCCATTTGCAGAGAGAGACAGAGACAGAGAGAGGCAATTGCGCTTCCCTGCTTCTCTCTCTCTCTCTCTCTCTGTGTGTGTAAAAGAGAGTGCACTCACAGTGTACTCCGAGGAGCTGAAAAGCTTATTGGGCGGCGCTCTTCCCTTTGCTGCGTCTCTGCAGGAAGCAGGAAGGGCAGGAGATGGAAGACTTAGGCCACTATTCAATTGCCGCGCTGCCTCTCAGGAGGTCAGTGTCAGCTGCCAATGAAGCTGCGGGAAAGGTGGAAGACAATCCCTTCAGCCCAGTGGAACAGGTTTTCTTTAAGGATATCCCTATATCTGGCTCCATTCAGCTTTCCATCAACCTTGATCAGTCTCCCAGTCCCTGCTGCTGAAAAACATCCACACAGCATGATGCTGCACCACCAGGCTTTGCTTTTGGGATGGTATTGGGCAGGCAATAAGAATTGCCTGGTTTTCTCCAGACATAACGTTTATAATCGTGGCCACGCAGTTCAATCTTGGTTTCATCAGACCACAGAATCTTGTTCCTCACAGTCTGAGAATCCTTTAGGTGCTTTTTTTCAAACTCCAAGCAGGCTTTCATGCGTTTTGCACTGAGTCTTCCATCTAGCCACTCTGTCATAAAGCCCAGATCGATGGAGGGCTGCAATGATGGTTATCCTTCTGGAACACTGTCCCATCTCCACACAGGATCTCTGGAGGTTGGTCAGAGTGCCCATTGAGTTCTTGGTCACCTCTCTTACTAAGGCCCTTCTCTCCCGATTGCTCAGTTTGACCAGGTAACCAGCTCTTAGAAGAGTTCTGGTTGTGCTAAAGTTCTTCCATTTGTGAATTATGGAGGCCACTGATAGTAGGAACCTTCAGTGCAGCAGAAATTTTATTGTAGCCTTTCCCAGATGTGTGTCTTGCCAAAATCTTCTCTCTGAGCTGCTCAGGCAGTTCCTTTGACCTCATGGCTTTTACTCTGCTACAGTGTGCATTGTCAGCAGTGAGGCCTTCTATAGACAGCTGTGTGCCTTTCCAAATCATGTCCTGTCAATTTAATTTACCACAAGTGGACTCCAATCTAGGTGTAGAAGCATGTCAGCAATGATCAAGAGAAATAGGAGGCATGAATTTCACATGTTATTGCAAAGGGCCAGGTGTGCAAAGCTTGTCACATCATACCCAAAAAGTCTCAAGGCTATAAATGCTGCCAAATGTGCTTCAACAAAGTACTGAATGAAGTATCTGAATATTTATGTCAATGTGTTATTTCATTTTTTTCTTTTTAATAAATTTATAGACATTTCTAAAATTCTTTTCATTTTGTCTTTATGGGGTACTGAATGTACCTTAATGAGAAAAAAATGATTTTCAACCACTGTAGAATCAAGGTGCAACATAATAATTTGACAGAAACGAAGGGGGTCTGAATACTTTATGAATGCACTGTATATCCTTTTCGCATTCTTGACTTAATTTGATATTCCCACAGGTCAAATGCTAATGGCCCTCAAAATGTTATCCCATGTCATTTCCTCTTCCTGTTTTTTTTTTTTTTTTCTGAGAGCCATTTAGATGTTTTAGGGCGCAGCCTAAGTTTATATCTGTTTTGTGTTCTCAGTGTGGCATTTATAACATTACAGTTTTCAAATCTAGTTTGATCCAAAATTTATCGTACCACAAATATGCATGACATCCAAACCTTTATAAAGCCTTTCTAGTTTTAAAATTCTCTTATTTCTGAAGAACTCCCATTTCTTATCCAAACCACACAGCAGACTAGAAAGTCCAATTTGAAATCAGGCAAACCAAATCTTCCCTTTTCCTTCGAACCATGGAGAACTTGATATTTAATTTATGGCTTTTCCCTTGCCACACATGTTCAAAATTTTCAATCTTCTTTTCTTTTTGAAGGTAATAATGGGGAGGAAAATGAAGATTCCAGAAAACTATTCCAAGTGATCAGTCATGGATACAATACAAAGAACCCTACAATTCTAATGGAAGTAGAAAGCCATGAGAGAAACCAGTCAAATAATTGGAATCAGGAAAGTTCATCTTCCATTCATGCACCAATGAAAGCATCTGTGGCTCAACAAGGAAAAAGAAAGAACAAATATATTGGAAAATGTATAAAACCATTCAAAGACAAATTTGACGTAAATGAACAAAATCAAACCCAGATCAAAGGAGAAGATTATATATCTAGAGAAAGTGGGAAAAATTACAAATGGACCTTGTCTCTTCCTCATAAAAATGAGTGTGGGAAAACCTTTACTAGTAACAGTCATCTTACATGTCATCAAATAATCCATATAGGGGAAAAGCCTTATAAATACATGGAGTGTGGAAACAACTTTACGAACACTAAAGAACTTACTTCACATAAAAGGATTCACACAAGAGAGAAGCCCTACAAATGCACAGAGTGTGGAAAGTGCTTGAGCTCACTCAAAAATCTTTCTGTACATGAAACAATCCACACAGGGGAAAGACCTTATAAATGTATGGTGTGTGGAAAAAGCTTTATTCATACAACTCATCTTAGTTCACATACAAGGACCCACACAGGAGAGAAGCCCTATAAATGCATTCAGTGTGGAAAGAGCTTTACTCAGAGCAGCAATCTTACTTCTCATGAAAGGATCCACACAGGAGAAAAGCCCTATAAATGCATGGCGTGTGGAAAGAGCTTCACTTGTAGTACTTCTCTTACTTTGCATTATCGGATCCATACAGGTGAAAAGCCATATAAATGTATGGAGTGTGGAAAGAGCTTTACTCATAGGAACAGTCTTGCTTGTCATAAAAGGATCCACACAAAGGAGAAGATCTATAAATGCCTAAAGTGTGGAAAGAGGTTCCCTAGGAGCACTGACCTTATTTTCCATAAAAGGATCCACGCAGGGGAAAAGCCATATACGTGCCTGGAGTGTGGAAAGAGCTTTGTTAGGAACTCTCAACTTATTTACCATAGTAGGACACATACAGGGGAGAAGCCATATAAATGCATGGAGTGTGGTAAGGCTTTTATTACAAATAGTTCTCTTAACGTCCACAAAAAAACCCACACAGGGGAGAAGTCTTATAAATGCATGGAATGTGGAAAGAGTTTTTCTAGAAACAATATTCTTAACACCCATAAAAGGACCCATACAGGGGAGAAGCCCTATAAATGCATGGAGTGTGGAATGAGCTTCATTTGTAGGACTTCTCTAACTTTCCATGTCCAGATACATAAAGGACTGACACATAAATGCATGGAATGTGGAAAGAGTTTTTTTACAAACAATTATCTTAAGAAACATAAAAGGATCCACACAGGGGAGAAGTCACATAAATGCATAAAGTGTGGAAAGAGCTTTATTAATAAAAGCCAACTTATTTACCATAGTAGGACACATACAGGGGAGAAGCCATATAAATGCCTAGAGTGTGGAAAATGCTTTTTTGTCTCTAGTAGTCTTAACCGCCATAAAAAGATTCACACAGGGGAGAAGCCTTATAAATGCATGGAATGTGGAAAGTGTTTTTCTACGAAGAATTATCTTAACACCCATAAAAGGATCCACACAGGGGAGAAGCCGTATAAATGTATCGTGTGTGGAAAAGGTTTTATTACGAATAGTTATCTTAACTCTCATAAAAGGACCACACAGTGTAAAAGCCCTATAAATCTGTGAAATGTGGAAACATCTTCAAGACCAATGGGCAAATGTTCCATATACAGAAACATTTGGGCAATAATCTGTTTAACTGTTAGGTTTAGTTTTTGAAATATATGTATTTCCTAATTACATCTATTGAATTTTTTGACTCTGACCTTCACAATTGGAAGCCCCAGAGTGATGAATTTACTAATGGAAACCAAACGCTACGCATGTGGTGTTTTAATTATGAACAGTGGATTTTTGTAGCTACTGTCATTGACCACCAATGACATTTCACATAAATAAGAAAACATCTTTTTTCTTCATGTTTATCCCATTTCCAATTGGATCATAATAGAGAAAGCCCAAATTCCCAATGAAACTTTATAAAAGTTTAATTTTTGAGAGCAATCATAGGGCTTAACTAGCTAAATGTCATTCCAGGCATTCTATGGGAAAAGCATTAATCAGCAATGGTGTCAGATGTCTATCTTTGCTTTCTTTGAAGCTAGCTAGCAACTGCCATAACTAGGGGGAAGGGGACATTTGGTAGAGGAAGAGCACTGGAGGTGTTAAAGAATGGTGTGAGAATTTGAGTATGGGCATTAACAGGAACTAAAGGTACCAAACTGAGTCATCTGCCTGCCCTCAAGGACACCAGCCCTGGGAAAGAATTTATAGCCACTCCTGTAAGATGCTAAGAAAAAGACTCAAGCATGTCTTGAGCAGAGGTTTGAAGCTGCAGAACACCACTTGACAAACTCTTACTGCTTTTTATATACTTGTTAAATACACCAGCTTAGCCATTAGGTGCTGACAAAGGTTTCTTCATTGGAAAATGTCTTCATGTAAGCAACTATTTCCTAGTAACACATTACATGATCAAAGACCAGGTAAAGAGCAAACAAGAGAAGGAACTAACAAAGGTAGGAAAAGATAGAAGGAACTAAGCATATTATCTGTTTAGGTAGATAAGTCAAAAGGATATGACCTTCTGGCTGCTTCACTGGGACAAAGAGTATCAAAAGGTTATGAGGTTTGTGTGTGTGTGTGGGGGGAAATCACGGCAGTTTGCTACCCGTGCATTTTCCCCCACATACTCCTGAGACACCAGGTTGCTAAAACATTGGACCAGGATTGGATTGGACTGGTCTAGCCAGGGGAAGGGCTTTGGGCATTGGAGATTGCTTTCAATATATGGTTTTTGCTTGCCTTGCTTATGCTGCACTCGATATCTCTAGTAAAAGTACCTTTTCTCTAACATCCATGGAATCAAGGGTCATTCTTCCTAGGGAGTAAACTGTGGCCAGTCTGACAAGATTTGCAGAAATAATCACTAGATATGAATTATCAAAATAAGTGTGTTGCTAAAGAAGATACCTTATGAATAGAATGGTTTAAGTAGCCATCGTTTTACAGTTAAGCTTTTTATAGCTATCGGTTGTTGTTAGTTTCAAAGTTGTGTCCGACCCATCACGACCCCATGGACAATGTTCCTCCAGGCCTTCCTGTCCTCTACCATCTTCTGGAGTCCATTTAAGCTCACACCTACGGCTTCAGTGACTCCAAGAAATATCTTCTGAAGAAGCATCTTTAGAAATGAAGATGTTCCTTCGATATGAAGTGAAACCTTAAAGAAAATAAAAAGTCAAGTTGCCTATTGAAAAATTCCTTTGGGATCCCTTGAGAAATCTACAATGGAGCAAAAAGGTTTTCATATATAAACATAGAGAAGATAGAGATAAAAATATATTATGTGTTTCCCCAAAAATAAGACCAGGTCTTATAATTTTTGGGGGGGAACTAAAAGATCCATTAGGTCTTTGTCGAGCCCCGCGAGGCCGACTCGTTGTGAGGCAGGGACCCCCTCCCTTTAATGAAAGATCTCCTGGCCCATCTAGCCCAGGGTAGGATCTTTACAAAGTTAGATCTACGGGAGGCCTATTATCGGGTCAGAATCAAGCCCGGTGACGAGTGGAAACCAGCTTTAAATTGCCCCCTGGGTAGTTATCAGTTTAGGGTTATGCCCTTTGTTTTGCAAGGTGCCCCCGCGGTCTTCATGCAACTCATTAACGGAGTACTACATGAACACCTGTACAGTATCAGTATATCGTGATGATATACTGATATATATGGACACAACAGAAGAACACGTCAAACTAGTATGTGACGTGTTTCGTAAACTGCTGGAAGCCCGATTATATGTAAAGTTATCGAAATGTGAGTTCCACCAATCCCGCTTAGACTACCTGGGTTACAGGATCAGCAGTGGGGGTGGAGATGGACCCGAAAAAAGTACAGAGTGTGTTGGAATGGCAAGCCCCGCGAACACGCCGCCAGTTACAAAGCTTTTTAGGATTTGCTAACTTCTATAGGCAATTTATTCCTTCATTTGCTACGATAGCTTTGCCTTTCACAAACCTGCTGCAGACCCGGCTGAGCACTATATGACCACTAGCCTGGGCAAAGGAGTGCCAGACTGCTTTTGAAGCTTTGAAGGCTCTATTTGCTAGGGAACCGGTTCTGTTGCACCCGGATCCAGAATGACCTTCGTGATACAGGTGGATGCCATTGATGTAGCAGTGGGGGTGGTGTTGCTGCAGCACAACCCAGACGGGAGGTTGCAGCCCTGTGCCTATACATCGCAGAAGTTGACGGGAGCCAAGCGAGCGTGGGTGATTTGGAAGAAGGAGACATTCGTACTGAAGTGGGCCCTGTCCACGTGGCGGCATTTACTGGAGGGGGCAAAACACGAATTTGAAGACTGGACCGATCATAAAAACTTAGAGGTGCTGCAAACACCCAGGAGGTTGTCCCCGAAACATGTGCACCGGGCACAATACTTCTGCCGCTTCCAGTTTTGCCTCAAATATGTACCAGGAGGCAAAAACTTCCTTGCAGACGCATTGTCCTGGTCGCCGCAATACGCCAGCAAACGGGAGGAGGTGGTACAGGCAATCATGCCCCCATATAGGCAGGACGAAGCAAAGGCGGTTTCCCGTCCGGTAACCACAGCTCTTGTCGAACTGAGAACGGCTCTCGCGCATGACCCGTGGTTGCAGGAGAACCGTGGGTTGTTGACTCAGAGGGATGGTCTGGCCTGGTATGGCAATAAATTGTATGTTCTGCAGATGCTACGCAGTCGTGTATTCTACCATTGTCATGACTCCAAACAGGCAGGCCACTTTGGATATTTGAAGATATTGCATCTAGCCAGATGTCAATGCTTGTGGTCCCGAATGAGCACAGACATGGAAAAGTACATGAGGGGCTGCCCTGTGTGTGCCACCTCCAAGCCCAACCTGGGGAAACCTATAGGGTTGTTGCAGTCAGTGGCTGACCCAGACCAACTATGGCAAGACATAGCCATGGACTTCATTGTGGACCTGCCCGACAGTCGGGGGTATATGGTGATCTGGACTGTGGTTGATCTGTTCTATAAGCAGGCCCATTTCGTTCCCTGTAAGGGATTACCATCAGCTTGGAGATTGGCCCGCATGTTTTTGTCACATATCTATCATCTTCATGGGCCCCTGCGTCGGATTATCTTGGATCGCGGGGTTCAATTCACGGCTCGGTTTTGGCATGATTTTGTATGCCTGCTCGGATCCTCCCAAGGAGTAAGTTCGGCGTACCACCCGAGCACAAATGGAGCTGCGGAACGGGCGAATGCAGCGGTGGAACGATACCTTCGGAGCTATGTCTCTTACCAACAGAGAGATTGGGTGGAGCTAGTAGTGTTCGCGGAGGTGGCATACAACAATGCTGTGAACAGTAGCAGCGGTTTCACTCCTTTCCGAGTGGTTTCCGGCAGGGAGTTTGTACCAATGCCTGAGTACAGCAGTCAGGAATCCCAACCCTGTCAGCCTGGTGGATGGTTATTCCAAGTTAGCAGGGTCTGGGGTGTGGTGAGAAAGGCCCTAGCAAAAGCAAGAGATACTGCAAAAGTACAAGCGGACAAGAAACGCAGAACCCACAAACCGTTCAGGGTGGGTGATATGGTGTATCTGTCTACAAAAAATACATACGCCTACGAGTCCCTTGTAGAAAACTGGAGCCAAAGTATATCGGTCCTTTCCGGATTGCCCAAGTGATTAACCCGGTAACAGTGCGACTCCAACTCCCCCGGTTTCTGGGTAAGATACACCCTGTATTTCATACTAGCCTATTAAAACCACTCTCCCATGACCACTCAATGGAAACCCCGGGTCCTGTAGCGCCCGACCACTATGAGATCCAGGAAATCCTGGACTCACGGGAGAAACGGGGTAGTTTGTATTACCTTGTCTTGTGGAAAGGGTATCCTCTGTCAGAAGCGTCCTGGGTGAAGGAGACTGATATGCATGCCCCCCAACTGATTCGGACATACCATAGCAAGTATCCTGGAAAACCGGGGGGGGGAGGCCAGGGGGAATATGAGGACAAGGGGCATGATCATTAACTCTCTTTCATTTGCCTTCCAGAGGGACCCCTGGTAGGGGGAGCGGCATATCGAGCCCTGAGAGGCTGACTCATTGTAAGGCAGGGACGCCGCCAGACATCCCCGCCACCAACCAACAACCCCAATTGAAACTTAACCAGCATTGCCGCTCCATTAGCACTGTTGGCTGGCCGGTTCTGCACAGGTGGCACCAGTCGCAGCAGCCCTTGAACAGGGGAACCGGTTGCAGCGTTGCCGGCCTCCTCCTGGTTTCCATCGTTGCTGCCGCATGGCCGATGGCCTATCCTTGCGTGTGGCGTCATCTTTCAGTGCCTCCCAGGGCCGACATTGGACAGGGGGAGGGGGCTGATTGAGGCTCGCTGAATGTGCTGCTGGATGGGCTGCTGGTGTGGAACAGACGCAGGGCTGGGTGGCAAGGGAGGGGCTAGGCCCAGGGTTTATTCCTTCCAGGCCGGATGGAGGTGTGATGGGTGGGGCTAGGTCTGGCGTGGGTGGGGTGGGCATGCTTCCTATGTAAAGGCACTGGGAGTAAGCCACTCTCAGTGCCGACTTTATTCCTGTACGGAGTGCATTAAAATTCCGTTTGTTTCTCATTCCTGCTTGCTGGCTATTTTGTGAAGCACCAAGACAGGACGACCTGACAGTCTTATTTTGGGGAAATTTGTTATATATAGCAAGTGTGCGTGCATAAGTGGGACAATGTTCGGTATAAACAGCAGGGTGTTGCCTGCGCATGGGATGGAGACGCAGAGCTTCAATGTGCAGCGGCAATTGATCCAACCTCGGAGCATGGGGGTGGACCATCTACTGGTTCTGAGAGAGTTCAAAGAAAGGGAGTGCACATGCCATTCATGTGCCAATCCAGCCCCTGCAGCCCTTGGGCAGCGAGGGGAAAGGAGTGGGGGTGGCCAGGCAGATGCTCCTCTGGGTGGAGCAGTGATTCTTTGCCCCAGGGACACTAGGGGGCTGTCTTCCTGGTCTGGCATCACCGCCCAGCTACTCTCACTTCTCCCAAGCATTTCTTTGCTAACCTGCTTTCCAGCTCCATCGTGTATCTCTGTCTCCGTCACATTTCTCCGCCTCCACGTGCAGAGAAACAAATGTTTGTTGGATTAAAAAAAAAAGGTCAATCAGACCTTCCAACTTCATGAGATCTTTTTTGTCACAACAAATTGGAAGGTCTGATTGAACTTTTTTAGTTCTACAAACTTGTTTCGGTTGAAAGAAGTCTTCATCCTGGTTCATCGAAGCCGGGAATAAATAAACAACATGGCGACTGGTTTGGGAAGAAGGTTGCAGTTTATTGAAGATGCTTCTTGCAGGAAAGACCAGAGAAAAGAAGGGCTGAGAACATGGGTAGTAGGTTTTTATACCCTCTCTAGCCTTTTGTTTGGAATAGTTTCCTGTTCCTGTGGCATGAACTTTGAGGCTATTTCCTGTGTCACATATTCTGACCTGAGTCTGGGTGTGCCCTTTGGCCTTTGTGAGTTAATCCTAC